ACCCCTCGAAAGATAGCACCCCCTACTTTAAAACAATTGAGCGTCAATATAAAAAAAATGTTACACATATGTAAAAAAGGGGATGCTATCTTTCCAGACTTTACGGTATTTATTTTAGTTATTTATTTTATTATTTATTTTTAATTTTATTTTATTTGTATTAATATTCTGAATGATTTAATTAGTTATATGAGCTCGTGTTATATTCCGCAGAATTGATTAATTCGTAATACATTAATATTAGACCTTTATTTAGTAAAAATTGATGAAAGTTATCCCAGATTGGGATAAATATCCCAAATTGGGACACATATAACTCAACATGTATATAAGGAACGAGTATTCGCTGTAGTCGAAGAATAACTTTGTAACAAATTAACTTAATAATAAGTTAATAATTAGTTTCGACTAAATACAAAATCATTTTATCAAATTACTAAAACAAAATTATTCGCTAATAAATCTAATTCGTTAGTATTAGCCTATTCAATCTGATTCACATAAAACTAATAAATATTTGTTATCACCCTTTAAAATACGCTCTCCCAAAATTAATCGGCGACACTATTATTTATATGGTATTTTAATATTATTTTAGCAAAAATAAATTGTTTATTTCAATGAAAAATGTTGAGAAAATGAAAGTAATTTTGACATATTTTTTTGATAAAATATCATTGCAAAAAACCAATTTACCACTATATTTTGACTTTGAAAAAAATTAGAAAAATATGTTATTTTAATAATATTTTAACTAAATTTATCTTTGTCAAAATCAAAAATTTCGACCCGTGATAATACATATTAATATCAAAAAATTTTTTGCATCAAAAGATTTTTTTTTTATTTTCTAATTCCTCTTCATTAATTACGTTTCCTGTATTAGTATTAGTTAATGATCGACATTATCCGTTGTATTGATATATTTTTATTATGGTCGAACATAGATTTTAAAAAAAAAAATCCGGTAAATCGAATATATATGAAAAATCCTGAAATATTTGGTTTTGTTGTACGTGAAAATGAAATTATGTGAATTCGCAATTCACACATGTTAAATTCAAATTTACATATGTGAAATTCAAATTAGCCAATCGGAATTTCACCCCACTCCATAATATTTCAATTTCCCATACAACTATGTAAATAATATGATTAAAAAAATATAATACATACGACAAATAAAATATAATCAAATGTAACAATAATAAGTAATAAATTTATTCATTCATAAAATAATCCTCCTAGATTATTACAAATCTATCAAAAAATCTTGTATCAAATGATTTTTTTATTATTTTCTAATTCGAGTGCCTGTATTGGTTAATGATCGACATTATCCGTTGTTTTTTATTATGGTCGAACATATAGATTTTTTTAAAAAAATCCGCTAAATCGAATGTATATGAAAAATCCGTTAAATCCGTTAAATCGAGATATAAAGATTTGGTTTTGTTGTACGTGAAAATGAAATTATGTGAAATTCAAATTAGCCAATCGGAATTTCACCCCATAATATTGTTGTTTTAATACAAAATTCTGATTGGCTAATTTGAAATTCACGCGCGTGAATTTCAAATTGACGCAGATTCCAAATTCACGCACAACATATGATTACTTTACCTATATTATATAAAGGGTATTGAGTAATTAAAAATTACCAAGGAACAAAGAAAAATAACATTATGTTGGTGATGTTAAATAATTTGATCCCTGAAATTTTTTGTGACATAATGTTTCATTTTCCCAGTTTTGTTACAGCATGCTAATGGGATTATTCTTTTATTACCAAATTTTATTACTTAAAATCATTTCCTTTACGAATTTAGACATAATTGCCTCAAATAGATGTGACGTATTAAAAAAGCAGAGACAGCGTGTGAATGAGAATGAGAATGAAACGGTAAATGGTAAATAAATACTATTTCGCCGTGATCGACGTTACATGACATGATTTCAAATTTTCTAAATTTGGTAAAAGCCTAAATTTTATTTCACCGAAATCATAAAACCGACTCTATGATGTTGATCTGGTATAAGACATGGATCTTTATCATTTGATTGAGGTATAATCTAATACAAGAATATTCCAACTGAAAAGTTGTACATAGTGGTGGAATTAACTTAAAATTGCTTTTCATGCCATAATCTACACCCTTAATTTTTGTATACACGACAATGCAAGCATGTCATTGTAAAATTTAACGCTTATTTATTGTAATAAAGCTTGATTTTTGATTTTTTTGTAATATATTTTTTTTTAAAAAAAATAAATGCTTATTTGTATTTATATATAAATATATATATATAAATATTATATTATAATATTAATTTTTTTTTTTACATAAATTTTTTTTATAAGAAAAAAAATTAAAAAAAATAGTCTATTTTTGTTTTTGTTTTTAGCATATATAATATGTATAATTTTTTTTATATTGTCTATATATAATATATAAAATTTTCCTAAAAATCTATATAACTATAAAACACGATTGATCAATCTTCCCGATAATTATTTTTGATCATCATCCTGTAAATCATATTTACCATTTTGACACTTCATCACACACCATAATCCATAAATAAGCTCAGATTGTTTCCTTGACTCAATGGCAATCAAATTGACATGGCATTTTTCTTCAGATCGCAATTGAAACCCGACATTTCTCCAATCGTTGATAGTTAAGTTTTCTGGTGTACAACAAACTTTTTTAAGGAACATTTTAAATTTGGAATTCAACAAATTTCTTATGTCACTATAATCATAATCATCTTTTGATAACCCATATAATCGTTGCACGTAATACCAGATTGCTTGTCGTAATGGAGCCACATCCAAATCATTATTTTGTTGTGTATATGATTGGAATAGGCTATAATAGTCGTTAAGTTCTTTGGCTTCTTGGAATTCATCATCCAGCAAATCACCTAGACCTGGCAAAAAATTATTTACCATTAGTGCGCCATGATCTTTCCAACAATAGTCCTGTAATTTGAACACAGAATATTCGTCACTGTTTATATTGAAATCTTCATATGAAATCTCGACCGATGAATCAGCAAATCTTGAGAAATCTTCAACGTGCTGGTTTGAAAGTTGTGGAACTGATGGCAACGAAGGAAGAAATTGACTATCAGTGTTGTTTCTAAAGTCGTGGCCATGTACAGATAACGATGAGGATGATGGTTGTTGATCTGCAAAAAAGGACGAAGGAAATGGGTCATTTGGAGAATCGCTTGTAAAAGTTTCTTCATCGCAATTTTCAAATTTACAGAGTTTAGGTGTAGAAGATAATCGTGACTCATAATAATCGTTATTATTGTCATCCTTGTTGTTACTTTTATTCTCGCTGTCATTGGCATTATTATTTTTGTTTTTATTAACATTAGTGTCATTTGAAGAGGGAGAAGAAGAAGATATTTGCAA